AATCAACTAATCTCTAGGGTTCCATTATTGTAAAAAGGGAAGTTCATTTCACTCACTTTCACTAGCATTTTAATTACTTGCACATTAGGTAATTAGTTTAGATAATTAGCTAGATAACTAAATTCCTACAAATTTTGGTTGATTTATTTCACTAGATAACTTTCAATTAGACTTAAAACCATTCCTTGGGAGATGACCTAGGGTTGGCCCTATATTGCATTAGGGTTAGCTTTAGTGTAATTTTGAGGATAAGTGACTAATTTCCTATCAAAATTTTGGCGCCGTTGCCGGGGAATGGTTTAAGTTTAATTCTAAGGTTGTTTAGTACTTAATTTACATTTTTAGTGTTCCTAGAAAATCTTTTGAAAAATTATAAAAAAATTTTTTTTGTGTCTTGTTTAGTGTTTTTTGTGTGTTTTGAGTGTTTTTATTCTGTTTTGAAAAAGAAAAAAAAATTAGTGCAATTTTCGTTGGTTTGGTGTAGAGCTGAAAATACTCTGTTTCTAGTGTCTCTGTCTAAAATTGAAAAATTAACTGGGAATGAGTCTGAGGGAATTTGAACGTGGAATTTATTTCATTGAAAGCTCTATATCCTAGCTTCACTTTAAAATTGGTTTGGTTAATTTTGGACGTGGGAAGTGTCCTGTGGAAATTTTATACTCTAACAAGGTCCAGGGAGCCATTACAGAGGATTCCCAAAACCCTGTTTCAACTTTGAGTTAGCATATCTTCGTCTTTGTGCATTCAAATTGATTGATTCCAGTTTCATTTTTCTTATCGCTATCTTATCTTTGTTTCTTGTGTTTAGGATTTTCTTCAATTTTTCCATTTTCCTATTTGAAAGTTTGTTAGAAGCTCTGAAGGTCTTCTGGACGAAATCCTGTTTCTCTAGACTTGAGGACCAACTTGTGAAAAATTCTGGGAACGATTGGGAAGGATTTTTAATCTAAAAGTTTTATATAATTTTCCTGTATATCTCTTGTGTTTCTCATAAAAGTTTCAGGGGAATTTATCATGTGGATTTGCTGATAGAAAATTCACAAGTTCACTGTCTCCAGAGAGCCTACTGTGCGAATTCCAGAATTGCCAAAGCTTCTTGATTGAGCATTTCTAACTCTCTTTCTATTTGTTTGGTGTTATTTTTTTTTCATTTTTTTGCTATTGAGTTGAATAAAAAAATAAAAAAAAATTATTTCTCTTGCTTTTGTGTGTTTTGAATTGTTTCATGTTGATTTGCATTTTAGTTTAGTTTGTTCTTTGTTCTTAATTTTCTTGAGCTTGATTAGTGCATGACCCGAAGAAAACATACCTCTTTTGTTGAATTAGATCCAGAAATTGAAAGAACTATTTCTAGATTGAGAAGATCACAACCTATTCTTGATTCTCATTTGGTTTGTAATTCAACAATGGAAGGTATTTTAGGACATGAGCATGTGCATAATGAGGGCCATGGGAATGGGAATGAGAATTTGCATGATGATGGCCATGTTAATAATGAATTTGAAGGCTTGCATAACCCTAGAGAGGAGAGGAGCATTAGGCAATTAACTCAACCTAATTGGCATGATAATCCTTATGGCTTATATGTTCCTCCTACTAATGTTCAATTTGAAATTAAATCCTCCTTGATTAATGCATTGCCTAAATTTCATGGGTTACCAGGAGAGGATTGTCATAGGTTTTTGCATACTTTCCTATTGGTTTGTGATACTATGAAGCCTATGCATGTAAATGTTGATGATGTTCAAGCTAAGGCTTTTGTATTTTCTCTTGAAGGTTTAGCAAAGGAATGGTATTTCAACTACCCTTCTTATGTGAAAGTGAGCACATGGGCTGAGCTAAGAAGACTCTTCTTAGATAAATTCTTTCCAAATTCCAAGGTCACCAATTTGAGAAAGCAAATCTATGGGGTCCAACAAGGAGAGGATGAGAGTCTCTATGAGTATTGGACTAGATTCCAAGGCCTTTTGGCTAAATGCCCACACCATCAAATTTCTAGTGAGAATTTAGTCCAATATTTCTATGAGGGCTTGATTCCAAGAGACAAAGTTAACATTGATGCCGCTAGTGGTGGATGCTTGATTGACCTCACTTCCTTAAAGGCTTGGGAACTAATTGACAAGATGGCTTCAAGTGGTGCTCAATACTCTACAAGGGAAAAGAGAAATGTGAATATGGTAGGTTCCTCAGTTCTTAATGATTCATATGTGGACTTGCTAGCTGCCAAGATTGGGAGAATGTTGGCTCCACAAATATCTCAAGTGAGCAATGTAAGTACTTCTCAAGCACTTGTCCCTTATTCTTGTACTTTTTGTGACTCACCTATGCATGTAGAAAGCAATTGTCCTATTAAGTTTGAACAAGTAAATGCTATCTACAATGGAAAACAATCCTATGGTGGGAGGCAAGGGCAAGGAGCTTATTCTAATACTTACAACCCTTCATGGAGAGACCATCCTAATTTCTCCTATTCAAATCCAAATGTGGCTTTACAAGACAATCAACAAAGAGGATCCTATCAAAACACCTTTGGCCGTGACCCTCCACCTCATTTGTCTCAAGGTAGCTCTTCTCAAAGCTACAATCCAAGTGGTAATTCTCTTACACCTTCTTCTAATTCTTATAGTGATAGGAGGCTTGTTCCAATTGAGAGTTCTTCTAATTGAACTCTTCTAATGATGTGAATGTGTTACGTAAGCAGTTGATTGAAATGAACTCTTTGTATAAAAACATGTATGATGGCTTAGGGAACAAGGTAGAGAGTATGGGTAACAAGTGTGAGAACATGAACTCTAAAATTGATGCCCTTACTTCTCAAATGAATATGCTTGCTAACCAATTAAGTGCAGCCAATGCTCAAGCCTCTACATTACCATCCAACACCGTTGCTAATCCTAAAGCTAATCTTAATGCTATCACATTGAGGAGTGGCAAGGAGTTGGGAGAAAGAGTACAAGAAGACAAAAGACAAGGGAAGGCCGAGAAGCCCTCTTTAAATTCTTCAATTGATGTTAATGTTTCTAGTTCTTCTTTTGCTCCTAATGATGCATCTTTTTGTAGAGATGATGAGGATGAAAACATTGAGGAGATCATATGTGAGCAACCACCATCTAAGGTGGAAAAGGGGACTATGGCCGAGTTGTTTAGTAAGGAAAAAGAGGGAGAGGCCGAGCAAAGTGAAACAAGAAAGGAGAGTTCAAGGAAGGAAGAAGGAAAGCAAAGTCAAGAGATTATGAAGAAGCTTCCTTTTCCACAAGCACAAGTGGTCCCTAAGCAAGTAAAGGGACAATTTGATCAAGAGGTATATGATTTCTTCCACAAGATTCATGTTAATGTACCCTTGATGGATGTAGTTAAGAACTTTCCTAAGTATGCCAAATTTTTAAAAGATTGTTGTACAAATAAAAGAAAATTTAGGCCTAATGCAAGGGTACAATTACCCTCATCTGTGAGTGCTATCATGAAGCCTCAACTCCCTATAAAATGTGAGGACCCCGGTTCCTTCACAATTCCATGCAAGATTGGCAACACACATTTTTCTCATGCATTGATAGACTTAGGTGCAGCCATTAATGTTATGCCTCTTTCAATTTATCATGCCTTGAGTCTTGATTGCATGCATAAGACACCTATGATATGCCAATTAGCGGATAGAAGTGTTAGAAGACCACATGGAGTAGTAGAAGACTTGTTGGTTTGTGTTAAAGGTCTATTATTTCCTGTGGATTTCTATGTGCTTGATATGTCAAAAGAAGGGAGTGGGGATGATATTTTGATTTTAGGAAGGCCATTTATGAGGACTGCCCGTACATTGATTGACATGGAAAAAGGTAGTTTGATTTTGAAATGTGGAGAGGATCATGTTATTTTTAATATATATGAAGCAATGAAACATCCTTTTGAGGATTATTCTTTGTTAGGTGTAAGTTCCATTGAGTTATTGCTTCATGATGCTTGTGAGTCTCACATGCTTGATTCTTTCTCACATGTTGATGATGATTTGTCTCTTGTTACTACTACATGTATTGATGGATGTAGTTGTCCTATTTGTTTAGAGATTGATGCATGCTTGAATGATGCAACTACTTCTTCTCATGATTTGTTTAAAATATCTCCTATGCTTGATCTTGAAATGCTTGAGAAGGGTATATCTTCTTGTGTTGTAGGTACTAAAGCCATTAAGGCCGAATCTATGAGTTTTTCTCCACTCGAGCTTGATGTTCTTAGGATTCCCAAGCTATTGGAGGAAAATTCTACACTTTCACATGTCGAGGCCGTGGCTCAAGTCCAAGCACTTGAGGACAAGTTGCAAGAAAAGGGGGAGGCTGTAAAGAAAGAAGAGGAGAAATCAAAAACAAGTGAGAAGCCTAAAAGACAAGATAGTACCATGGAATATTCCACCAAATTAGACTTGAAGAAGCTCATTCCCTCTTGTGTAGAGCCACCTACCTTGGAGTTGAAGCCTTTACCATCCAATCTCAAGTATGCATATCTCATTGAGAATGAGAAGCTTCCGGTAATAATTTCTAACTCTTTATCTCTTGAGGAAGAAAATGCATTACTTGATGTGTTGAGAAAGAACATACATGCTATTGGTTGGACTTTGGCTGACATTCCTGGTATTGACCCTATTGTGTGCACACATAAAATTTTTCTTGAGGACAATGCTAAGCCCATTAGGCAACCACAAAGGAGACTTAACCCATTGATTTTAGATGTGGTAAAGAAAGAGGTTGTTAAGCTACTTAGTGCTGGGATCATCTATCCTATAGCTGACAGTGAGTGGGTGTCTCCAACCCAAGTTGTACCTAAGAAAGGGGGGATTACTGTGGTAAAAAATGAGAAAGGAGAGCTTGTTCCAACTAGAGTTCAAAATGCTTGGAGAGTGTGCATAGACTATAGGAAGCTCAATAATGTGACTAGGAAGGACCATTTTCCTTTGCCTTTTATTGATCAAATGCTTGAGAGATTGGCTTCCAAGTCCCATTATTGCTTCCTAGATGGGTTTAGTGGGTATTTTCAGATTCCTATAGCTCCTAGTGACCAAGATAAGACTACCTTTACATGCCCCTTTGGTACATTTGCCTATAGGAGGATGCCTTTTGGTCTTTGCAATGCACCTGGTACTTTTCAAAGATGCATGATGTCCATATTTTGTGATTTTATTGAACATTGCATGGAAGTCTTTATGGATGATTTTACTGTGTATGGTGAGTCCTTTGATTCATGCTTGCATTCTTTAGATAAAGTGCTTGGTAGGTGCATTGAAAAGAAGCTTGTGCTTAACTTTGAAAAATGCCATTTCATGGTAGATAAAGGAATTGTTTTAGGCCATTTGATTTCTTCCAATGGCATAGAGGTGGATAAGGCCAAAGTAGATGTGATTGCTTCTTTGCCATATCCTGTTTGTTTGAAAGATTTGAGATCATTTTTGGGACATGCAGGCTTTTATAGGAGATTTATAAAGGGGTTTAGTGAAATTGCTTTGCCTATGTCTAAACTCTTACAAAAAGATGTTGATTTTGTTTTTGATGATGCTTGCAAAAGGAGTTTTGACACTTTGAAAAGCATGCTCATTTCCCCTCCCATTCTTAAAGCCCCAAATTGGTCTTTACCTTTTGAGTTGTCATGTGATGCTTCTAATTTTGCTGTGGGAGCTATGCTTGGTCAAAGAGAGGGCAAGTTATCATATGTGATTGCTTATGCATCTAGGACCCTAGATTCAGCTCAGGTTAATTACACCACAACTGAGAAAGAGTTGTTTGCTATTGTTTTTGCACTTGATAAATTTAGATCATATCTTCTTAACTCTAAAGTTGTTGTGTACACTGACCATGCTGCTGTGAGGTACTTGTTTAAGAAGACAGATTCTAAGCCTCGCTTGATTCGATGGGTGATCTTAATGCAAGAATTTGATGTGGAGATAAGGGATAGGAGTGGTTCTACCAATCAAGTAGCGGATCATTTGTCTAGACTACCTCATTTAAAAGCTACTATGGTAAACTCTAACCCTACTATTCCTTGTGATTCATTTCCTGATGAGGCATTGTGTGCCATTTCATCTAAGCCTCCATGGTATGCCTCTTTTGCTAACTATATTGAGTGTAGAGTCTTGCCTCCTTGTGCTTCACGTTTTGCCATTGAAAAATTGAAAAGAGAGTCTAGATTTTACATTTGGGAACCACCTTTGATGTGGAAGATTTGTAGTGATAAAGTGATTAGGAGGTGTGTTGATGATGTTGATGTGCCTTCTGTTCTTGAATTTTGTCACTCTCATGCATGTGGTGGTCATTTTAGCTCAAATAAGACAGCTAGGAAGGTTTTAGATTGTGGATTGTATTGGCCTAGCTTGTTTAAAGACTCTTATGAATTTTGTAAAGCATGCTTGAAATGTCAAAAGGTTAGTAGTTGGGGTAAGAGACATGAAATGCCTCAACAACCCATTTTATTTTGTGAGATTTTTGATGTTTGGGGCATTGACTTCATGGGTCCCTTTCCACCATCCTTTAGTTTTGAGTACATATTACTTGGTGTTGATTATGTTTCAAAGTGGATTGAAGCCATTCCTACTAGAACTTGTGATGCTAAGATTGTTTTGAAGTTTCTCAAATCTAATATTTTTTGTAGGTATGGAGTTCCTAAGGCCTTGGTAAGTGACCAAGGATCCCACTTTTGCAATAAGATGATGAAGGCTCTCTTGGCTAAATATGGGGTGCATCACAAAATCTCTACACCATATCATCCCCAAACTAATGGCCAAGCCGAAGTATCAAATAGAGAAGTCAAGAAAATCCTAACCAAGGTGGTGAACACAAATAGGAAGGATTGGTCTTTACACTTGGAGGATGCTTTGTGGGCTTATCGGACCGCTTATAAGACTCCCATTGGCATGTCTCCTTTTCGATTGGTGTATGGAAAGGCTTGCCACCTCCCTGTGGAGATAGAGCATAGGGCCTATTGGGCCATCAAGAAACTAAACTTGGATTTCCATCTTTCGGCTAAGGAGAGATTTCTTCAAATGCAAGAACTTGAGGAGCTTAGGTTGGATGCCTATGAGTCTTCTAGAATCTATAAGGAGAAAACAAGGATCCTTCATGACAAGCTAATCTTGAGGAAAAAGTTCCAAGAAGGAGATCAAGTCCTCTTGTTCCAAACAAGGTTTATTCATAAGCATGCCAAGTTGAAGTCTAAGTGGGAGGGACCATATCTAGTGACCAAGGTGTTTCCCTATGGGGTTTTGCAACTCTTGAATAAAGCCACGGGTTCCACTATGCAAATCAATGGTCACCTATGCAAGCTCTACAAAGATGCCAAATCACTTCAAAAGGAGGAGGACTTCTCTCAACATGTTTTTGAACCACCATGATAAGGTTGTATCTCTCTAACCTTGAGCTTTTACCTTCCTTTAATTGATATATTTAATGATAGGTATAGTTCAAGTGTGGGGGAGATGAACCTAGTAGGAAAATTAGAGTTTATTTGCTTTATTTGACTTCTTTGTTTTGTGTTTTAGTTTGAAAAAAAAAATATCTGCACCACACTTTTGTTATGCATTCATTATTGATCTCACCTTATTTTATCACTAGTCTATACATACATTGAGGACAATGCATGATTTAAGTGTGGGGGAGAGAAATAAACATTTTGTTTTGTTTGTTTGGTTTTGTTTGGTTTTGCAAAAAAAAATTCAAAAAAAAAATTTCTTTGTTTTGTTTTGTTTGAGGTTACTTAATTACCTAGCTCTTGAATGGATATTTTGATTCTTGAGATGTGGTAATTTTTAGGATTGAATAGGTGTGAAGTGAACATTCTTTTACCTTGAATTAATGGATTAGAGTGGCATATTACCCATTCATGGAAGAGGCTAAACACTCATGTGTGATTAATTCCTTAGTGATGTTACCCTCTAGAATTTGTTTCACTTCTTAATTAAGACCATATATCTTGCACTTGTTTGATAGGAGATGAGAGATGGCATTCATAAAAAATAGCCAAGAGCCAAATAGCCAACCTATTATTATTTATTATCCTTTGTTAGCCACTTTGAGCCTTTGGTTTGATTCTAAAAAAAAAATATTCACCCTATTTTTTCCAAGGAATGCATGTTACACTTTTATATGTCTTTTTAATATTCATTGCATGTCCTAGATCAAATGAGTGGATGCCTATTATCATTTCTCTATCCATTACTTCCATTGTTTTCAAAAGTTAGGGGCAACCAAAAAAAAAACAACAAAGATAGATTTGAAAAAAAAAAATAGTCAAAAAGAAAAGAAATAAAGTTGCTAGAAAAAGAAAAAAAAAAGAAGAAAAAAAAAGAAAAGAAAGAAAAAAAATAAAAATAAAAATAAAAAGTTGCCTAGCTCATCCATTCCATTTGTTTTATTATTTCTTATCATTTCTTTCCATCCTCATTGTGTTAAGGTGTTCACTCAATTGAGTTAGGTTATGCTTTGCATATTAAGGGGATATATCTTGATTTAGCATTATTTTGATGCTAACCCTATTTTTTTTTATATACATGCATTTCTTAGACATCCTTTCATTACCTATATCACAACCTAATAAAGTCCATTTGATTCTTGATTGCAAGTGCTATTTAGTGATGGAGATGTAGAAGGGTTACAAATTCATAGTAGGGTTTATCCTAAGAAATTTTGAGTGAAATTTAATACCTTATACACTTTGAGTGATGAGAGCAAACACTTAACCTAGAGAGGCTTACTCTTTGACATTGATTCTTGGTAAGGGTTTGTTTGTGATGTGCATAATTCTTTCATAATTATTGCCACATTGATTGATAATTTGTAGAAGTTCATGAGCTAGTATTTTAGTGACTTGAAACAATGTTTTTCTCTTATTTCTTTGTCTTATAGTTTCTTTTGGGACCTTTTTCACTTGATTTTGCCCGGAGTGCAAAAGCTAAGTGTGGGGGAATTGATAGAACACATTTGTTACCCACTTTTATTTGTCAATTAGGACCATTTTATTAATAATTTATCACCTTCAAGTGCACACATTGCATTAGATTTGGAACTTTGCCTAAGTTTCTAAGATCAGTGCACTAGGGGCATTTTGGTCCAAAAAATGAACTTTTGAGAAAATGTACAAGAAAAATTGACAAAGTGCATTTTATGTCCAGTTGATGAATGGTGAAATTATATTTTTAAAATTCATTTTAGTTTGGGAGTAATTAAATAAAAAAGTCAACACTTTCTTAAGTGTCTTAGTTTGTCCTAGTTTTTGGTTTGCCTTTGTGTGAAAATTTTTATATAATTTTTTGCAGCCTGAAACTTGGTTAATTTAATAAATTCTCCCTTCTAATTATGAATTTAATTCTGGACATGAATTAGATTTTATTATATCATATGCTATTTAATTGAATTATGTGATTTATGTGACATAGGTGGCATGTGACTTGTGCATCAATTGGGCAATTGAGGTCAACACTCCTTGAGGACAATGGCTGATGGTTTGCACGTGAATTATGATTATTTTGAGGGATTAGATCAGCTAAAATGATGTGGATGACACATGGGAAATTAGGCACACATTGGAATCATCTACAAACCAATAGGAAGTTGCCACCTTGCAAGTGTGACAAGGCTCCCATTTACATTTTAATTTCTTTTTCCTTATTTTAATTAAGCTTCAGCTGATGGGAGACACCAAGGAGCACGCCATTTTAAGTCCCAAATGGGATCCAACACATATCTCATTCATCTTCCACATTCTCTCTCTCTTGTTCATAGTGTTCTTCATTTTCTCTCTTTTGTTCTTCATTTTCCAGCACCCTAACCTCCATTTTCAGCCACCAAACCTCCACAAAACTCATACCATTCTTCTCCTCTCTTCATTTCCATTCCATCCCTTCCATTTTCACAAGGATTGAAGCTCATTTCCATCATTCAAGAGCTATAGAGTTTGGCCTTCACAAGCAATCACTAGGGTTCTTGAAGATGAAGATTGGCTAAGTTTCTTTATGGAATCCTAGAGAGATGAAGATGGAGGATGAGTCTTGAGCTTCAAATTGGCTAAGTTCTTTTGTTTCCTATCCTCTTCTCTTTTTACTAGATAGTTAGATTCCTTAATCTAGGGTCTAATCATCTTAGCTTATAAATTCTAATTTGAATTTGATGTTGATGTAAAGAGAGAGGATTGTTTATTTAATTTCTTCCTTGGACAGCCATGACTGAATTTTGCCACTCTTTGTTTGGCACATAATCTTGTGTTTTTCAATTAGTGAATTTCTTGTGTTAATATTGCATAATCTTGTGGTGTTAATGCTTGTGTTGTTGAGTAGCTTGACATAATCTTGTGGTGTTAATGCTTGTGTTGTTGAGTAGCTTGACATAATCTTGTGGTTGCTCAGTTTATGTGTTTGACCATGGCTGTTGAGAGAGGATTTTGAGTGAATCACTTGGCTAATGTCTTCACCAATTGGTTAATTGAACTAGGGACTTTAATCTAAGACCTAGGGAGGTTAGCTAATTAGGTTAATTGGCTTAGGATAATTTTCTTAAGTCATGACAGCTTTAGTCAAGAGGAAAGGGAAGCTAAACTTAGCCTAATCATGAGAAGATAATGAGTCCAAAATCAACTAATCTCTAGGGTTCCATTATTGTAAAAAGGGAAGTTCATTTCACTCACTTTCACTAGCATTTTAATTACTTGCACATTAGGTAATTAGTTTAGATAATTAGCTAGATAACTAAATTCCTACAAACTTTGGTTGATTTATTTCACTAGATAACTTTCAATTAGACTTAAAACCATTCCTTGGGAGATGACCTAGGGTTGGCCCTATATTGCATTAGGGTTAGCTTTAGTGTAATTTTGAGGATAAGCGACTAATTTCCTATCAAGAGGTGCTTAAACTCACCCTTGTATGCTTTTGAAATTAAGGGGTTGAGTAGTGAAATTGTGATCTATAATTTTTTAATGTGATATGGTGTATTCACAAGTTAATTTTGATGTTTTGCATGTGGTTTAATTGGTGTCAATGTCTATTGGCTTTTGGTGTTATTTTAGAATAATATTGAAAAGTGTAAGTTTTGAAAAGAGTGTCAAACTTTTGATAGTATAATAATTTGATTATGAAACTAAAGCCATTAGATAGAGCTCAGAAAGAACTTTCTATAGACACCTAGTTCGTGTCAATTGAACGTCAGACGAAGGATTAAGGCGTGTCAGAAGTTGCTCTAAAAGCTGTCAAAAATGATAGTATAATTTACTATCAAAAATCAAGCCACATGATGTGGCACAAGATGCCACAAGCCGTAGCGCATGAGATAGAGGCGAACACATCACAGCGCATGTTTGAAGAGCCACGACACACGCATATTTTTTACATAATTACTTTGTTTTATGATTCTTTAGCAAATGCACTAATTCTTAAAATGATCCTATGCTTCTACATAATTGTGAACTCTAATTTGTCTATTTTGAAGACTTTGAGAATGGTTTTAATTTTGTAAACTTGGGATCCTAACTTGTTCACCCATTGGTAATTTGGTATTATGTTAATTATCTTAATCCAATCTCTTTATTACTTGAGATTTGGAGTTAATCATGGGTTAGAAAGAGGAGAATATTACACTTTTAGTCCTATTTGATGTGCCAAAGTGTTCACACAAGTTTGTGACTCTTATGATGAGATTTGGATAATTTTAAAAATAGCTTTTAACTAAAAAGCTGCACTTTCACATTTAGGTATCTAAATTTCAATCCAACTATTAGATTTTCTTGAAATTTAGGTCATAGAAAAAACCTTTTATAATTTTTTTATGAGCTTTAGAATCACCTCAATCGGACATTGATCACAAAAATAGCATGCTCTAAAAGTTGGTTTGGAGATGCTGTCATGATAACATTATTACTATCATGACAACAATATAATGCTCTTATGATAGCAACAATTACTGAGGTTCGAATGCATGTGAATTTTGATCCGACCATTGGATCCTTTTGAAATTTAGTAAACTTGTAGTGCTCTTTAATGTGATATGTGGGCTCTAAAATCGCTCCGATCAGAGGTCGGATGATGAAATGGTGAACTCTAGAAGTTGGTCTAAATGTGCTATCATGACAACAAAACTACCAAACTTGTAATGAGTTTAAATTTTAATCCATCCGTTGAATCTTTGTGAAATTTGAAACACTACGAGCACTCATTAAATTTGACATGTGAGCTTTAAAATCATTTCAATTGGAGGCTAGACAATGAATCAGCACCTCGTAGAAGTTTGCCTGGGAAGGCTATCATGACAGCAAAATTAATGCTGTCATGACAACAACTAATTGTCCTTGTTTGCCCAATTTACTTTCGTGCGCTATACAGCAATCCTTAAAACTATTTTAAGCAGTTTTAAATGTTTCCTTTTCCATTGTATAGATTGTTTGGCAATTTAAATAGTTTGTTTTCTTAGTTAGTTTTATGATCAACTTCTTAACCATACTTAAATTATTTGGTTGTGGTGTGCTTTTGTTAACACTCGAGGCAAGTGTTACAAGTCTCACCTAATAGAGCATTTTCAATGCTTGGACGACTAAGACTTACTAGCCTTACACAAAGTAAGACTATAACCCCTTATTCTAGTCTAAGGTACACTCATGGATCATCCCCTTGGTCCTTCCTAGCAAAGCAAGCTTTATGCTCAAGACTTTAGGGATCTCCTGGGTCCTTCCTAGTAGAATAAACTCTACACTTATGACCTTCAAGACTTCCTAGCCTTGTACAAAGTAAGGCCACAACCCCCTAACCTAGTCTAGGGTATACTCATAGATGCGATGCACATGTCTATGCATATTGTATGATATGCCAGACACCCAAGAGGGGGTGAATTAGGTATCATTTGATTTTTCACAAAAAGCTATTGATCACATAAACTTAGAATATGAATATTGATAGGATAAACAAAGCTAATGAAGATGAGAGAATAAAGAGTAATACACAAGGAATTCATCCTTGGTCATCTTAATCCACTTGGCCTACGTCTATTCCTTAAGTACCTCATGATATTTCCACTATAA